TGCTGAAAGTGACCCATTTCATGACAGGAGCTGGGGGTTGTGGGATAAGTAATAGAAGTAGAAGCAGGTGTTCACCATCTGAAGTTATTAAACTTGATGTTGAGTCCTGAAGGCTGTAAGGTACCTAAGCGTAAGATGAGGCGTTTAACAGGTATGGCTGTGATGGCCCCAAGAACTTGCTTTATCTAGTTACATCTTATTGCTTAATACAATTAATATTCAAGCTAGCTAGTTAGTAGTTTGCTTTACTGATTTTAATTTCACGCTGGAAACAAACATTATATGAGAGATAAATTGTGTATTTTGTTTTACAGTGGTAATGGCATCTCATTTTTAGACAATTGTCCTTTTGGAGTAATGGCGATTAAAACTTTAGCTCCGCCCTTATTTTACAACCGAATACAGCACTACATAGCCAAGCCACCTTGGATCTTTTCTGAAACTGGATTGTATAATGATCTGTCACTGACTGTCTATCAAGGACTGGTCCATGGACTGCTGTGGCTGCATTCTACCTATTATCGAGTAAGGAAAATTGTTAAGCTAACCCATGTCATTGATTGTAAGATGGCTGAATGTATAAAACTGACAGAGGATTTGACTATAATTCCTTAGGAGTGTTAACTAGGCTTGAGTAATTGACAAATGGACTTTTTATTAAAACTGTTTTTAAGCATAAAGAAGCAATGTATATCTTTAAGGCCACAAGAAATATTTTTGTTAAAATTAGTGATGTCCTAAATTAACTTAAGCTAATGTGGGAATATTTTCAAGATAACACATTTCAAGATAACAAGAATAAAATATAAGATTCAGTTGATGGTTGCAAAATCAAAGGAAATGTGGAAGATAGACAATTCTGGCTGTCAAGCGCTGGCGAGCTATTTTAAGCTAACTTTTGGAGTAAGTCACCAGCGTTAAGAGAGTCACCAGAGCCTGTATAAAGCCACTTCAGGATTTTGCGGGACAGACATGTACAGTGTTAACAGAGAAAATTTAAGCCATGGAAGAAGGCTCCTTAGGGGTCCCTGAAATGTAGGCAAGTTTGTTAATATTTAATTATGATGATAATGAGTTACCAGTGCCATAACATAGAAATTAGATCTTTGACAAATAAGGGCTGAGTGGTTTTTGGGAGTAGGTGGGAATCAGGAAGAATCAGATCAGCCATGATCTCATTGAATGGCAGAGGAGTCTTCAGGGGCCAAGTGGTCTATTTCTGTTTCTAATTCACCTGTTCATATGCTAAAATGATGCACTTGTGGATGTGAAAACAGTACTCACCAAAGTAAGGTGATTTAGAGCAGATTAAACTTTTAACTCTGATGGTATTCAATTTAGGGTGCCAAATGAAAAGATCTGCATAATATAATCCACCAGTTCATATATTTAACAAATTGATGAGATCCAAGATTATTCTCTTTGACTGGAGAGAGATTTTTGTGATCTCAACATTTCAAAATGGAGGTAAGCCAAGCACCTGAAGCCTATAGTCTTGTCAGTTTATCATTAGTTATTGATAAATTATTTGAAGGCAAGGAGATGCTATTTAGTAAATCAATGGGGCTGTTACGATGTGCCTACATGACCTCTGAAAAAGTAGTCCTCAATCAAAAACTTGACTAAATCTTTTGAAGAAGTTGTAAAATCTGATGGTAAAAGTAATTCCAAGTGAAGTGATTCTAACTGTTACACAAAATGCACACACTGCCCTCTAACCCTAATCCATTCTAGTTTGATAGGTCATTAGAGGGGACTAAGAATGTCTCATCTACGTGCCATCACTTAGATCTCATCTTGATACCCATTTGCTCATTGTACCAGGAAGCTTGGGGAAAGTCACCTATGTAATGGATGAGGTATCAGCCACATCATCCAAAAAGTCATTGCTCCAAATAATGTATAGGGAAGTAGTTCGATTCGCATAGTAATTCTTATAATTTGTCTTCTTCAAAGATGTGAGTCATAGAATGGTTGCAGCGTAAAAGATGTAGTGGAACTTAATGCCATCCCACCTCCTACACTCATGGCCCTGCATTTTTCACTCATTTGCGGGATGTGGGTGTCGCTGGCTGGCCAGCATTCATTGCCTGTCCCTAGCTGCCTTCGAGAACATGGTAGTGAGCTGCCTTCTTGATCCAGAATTTGACTCAGCAACAGTGAAGGAACGGTGATGTATTTCTATGTCAGGATGGTGAGTGGTTTGGAGGGGAACTTGAAGGTGATGGTGTATCCCTGTATCTGCTGCTCTTGTCCTTCTAGATAGAAGTGGATGTGAGTTTGGAAGATGCTGTCAAAGGATCTTTGGTGAATTTCTTCCTTTTCAAATATTAATCCAACTTCCTCCTAGATGCATTGATTGAACTTGCTTCCACCACATTTTCTGACAGCACTTTCTGGACCTTAACACTCACTGCACGAAAAAAACTTTTTCTCATTTGGTATTGCTTCTTTTTCCAATCAGTCTCATCTGGTTCTTAATCCTTGCTTTAATGGGAACAGCTTCTCCCTTTCTATCCTTATGATTTTGAATACCACAATCAAAAGAGAAACCAGAAGAGGCACAGAGAAATTGAGGAAGAAGGGATGCACCAGCAGGCTCAGGACCTGCACCAACCTCCAGCAGCTGCTAAATGGTCTCCACATGAAGAAGTCAGAGCTGAAGTCCCCACATGATGCGGAGGAGGCACAGGAGGCCCAGAGTCCATCACGCTCATTGCCGTTTCCTCCAGATGGCTAGGTCATTATTAGTGCAGACTGAGGACATCGTCACAGAACTATACCAACTCCTGGAGTGGAACCTACGACCTGTAGGAATAAACAGCCATCTTCCAATGGCTGTCAAGGTGACAGCTACACTAAGTTTTTTTTGCAACTAGATGTTACCAAGGATCCATTTGAGACCTGTGTGAGATCTCTTAATCATGATGAAGTCAACGCTGCAGCCCAGGCTGTAGGTTGTGCCAATGTAGATGGCTTTCCCAGGTGCAGAGCACTATAGATTTTATTTCTGGTGCTTTGAGAGTGCCATATCATAACCCAACAGATGAACCAATCATCTGCAATCATCCATATCACAACTTTAGGGTCATACAGTGGATCAGTGATTAGCACTGCTGCCTCACAGTGCCAGGGACCCACGTTTGATTCCACCCTTGGGCGACTGTGTGGAGTTTGCACATTCTCCTCATGACTGCATGGGTTTCCGCTGGGTGCTCCAGTTTCCTCCAACAGTCCAAAGAAGAGCAAGTTATTTGGATTGGCCATGCTAAATTGCCCATAGTGTTCAGGGATGTGCAGGCTAGGTAGGGTTAGTCATGGGAAATGCAGGGTTACAGGGATAGAGCAGAGGAATGGGTCACTGTGGACCTGTTGGGCCAAATGGCCTGTTTCCATACTGTAGGGATTCTATGATACTATGTAGCCTGCACTATATAACTTGGGATCTGGCCAATGCCTATATCCTTAAGAACTCTCAAGTCCCTGCTTCTTTTCAAGGACCAGGTGGCTTACAAAGATGGTCACTGGGAGATAAGGCCTACCATAGCTGATGATTCCGTAATGCAACCTTATGACTCATGCTAAGTGTAGATACGTACAGACAATTCCATGACCAGGGCCATAGTGGAGCAGACCATCAGCTGCCTGAAGATGAGTTTTGGATGCATAGAAGGGTCTGGTAGGGCCTTGCAGTACAATCCGGACTGGCATGCTGTACTCTGCATGACTAGCAGGCAAAAAGGGCAATTTAGATGGACTCTGAAGAGCTGGGAGCATCAGCAGGCCTTCGAGGATGAAGATAAGGACTTTGAGCAGGAGAAACATCAACTTCAGTGTTATGGAGCATGACAGGATCAAGCGCAATAAGCTAGATGGACAGGGCTTAATTGACATCAGGTTCCAATGCATGTGAGCTGGGTGCAGTGATCATTCATTGGAAATTTGTTGTTTGCTCAAAAGGCAAACAGTTCCTGTTTATTCCCAGAAGCAAATGCAGCTTTATTTGTTTGTTGTTTCTTTGTTTCTTTCTGTTGTTGCCAAAAAATTAATGTTTTGAACTGTTGCAAGGCTTTTCAGTATGTGATGCTCCCACACTGAATAATGACAAAGTGTTATGCTATGCTGGACATTGGGAAAAGAGCAGCATTCCCTTCAACAGGGTTCTAAAATGGTATGGTTAACCTATGTAGCTTCATTCTTGTAGCTGCAGTTAAAATGGCAATCAATCAGACAAATTATGCTGTAAATAATACATATACAAATGTGAGCTTGTATATATGTCACTTAGTGTCACCCAGGACATATGTGCCCACAACCAACTGATCAGATCTAAGCTCTGTAGTCCTGCACATCCAGTCGGTGAATGGTGGTGGACAATTAAACAACTCACTGGAGGAGGAGGCTCCACAAATATCCCCATCTTCAATGATGGAAGAGCCCAGCACATCAGTGCAAAAGATAAGGCTGAAGCATTCGCAGCAATCTTTAGCCAGAAGTGCCAAATGGATGATCCATCTCGGCCTCTTCCAGTGGTGCCCATCGCTACAGATACCAGTCTTCAGCCAATTCGATTCACTGCATGTGACATCAAAAAACGGTTGGAGACACTGGATACTGCAAAGGCTACCGCCCTGACAACATTCCGGCAATAGGACTGAAGACTTGTGCTCCAGAACTTGCTGCTCCCTTAGCCAAGCTGTTCCAGTACAGTTACAACACTGGTATCTACCCAACAATGTGGAAAATTGCCCAAGTATGTCCTGTACATAAAAAGCAGGACAAATCCAACCCGGCCAATTACCGCCCCATCAGTCTCCTCTCGATCATCAGTAAAGTGATGGAAGGTGTCATCAACAGTGCTATCAAGCAGCACCTGCTCAGCAATAACCTGCTCAGTGATGCCCAGTTTGGGTTCCACCAGGGCCACTCAGTTCCTGATCTCATTACAGCCTTGGTTCAAACAAGGATAAAAGAGCTAAATTCCAGAGGTGAGATGAGAATGACAGCCCTTGATATCAAGGCTGCATTTGACCAAGTGTGGCATCAAGGAGCCCTAGCAAAACTGGAATCAATGGGTATCAGGGGGCAAATGCTCCGGTGGTTGGAGTCATACCTTACACATTGGAAGATGGTCGTGGTTGTTGGAGGTCAATCATCTCAGCTCCAGGACATCTCTGCAGGAGTTCCTCAGGGTAGTGTCCTAGGCCCAACCATCTTCAGCTGCTTCATCAATGACCTTCCCTCCATCATAAGGTCAGAAGTGGGGATGTTCGCCGATGATTGCACAATGCTCAGCACCATTCGTGACTCCTCAGATACTGAAGCAATCCATGTTCACATGCAACAAGATCTGGACAATATCCAGGCTTGGCTGACAAGTGGCAAGTGACATTCATGCCGCACAAATGCTAGGCTATGACCATCACCAATAAGAGACAATCTGACCACCACGCCTTTACATTCAATGGTGTTACCATCACTGAATCCCCCACTATCCACATCCTGGGGTTACCATTGACCAGAAA